GTACAACATAATAGAACGTTTTTTTAATCATTGTATCTGAGTTTTGCATCTTTTGTCTTGATTTGTTTGATTTTTGAACTAACCACAAGTCATACAAAATCAACACATCATCAGAAGCTCAACAAGTCCTCACAACTGTGAGTAAAACTAATAAAGAAAATACGTTACAAATGTCTGTTTGAAAGTGTTGCTTAAGGAAACAAAAGGAAGGAAGCCGGAACAATAGGTTTTAAAAAAGAAAAGCCTGTGCATAGCTGCCGAGATGAACAGCACTGCATGTAGCTACGTTAACTTAAAAGCCAATTACATGTATGGTACAGATTTAAAATGAAATGTACTCTTACCGCTGCAGTGTCAGTGAACAGGTACTGACTTCCCATATATGAACAGGCAAAAGCAGCAACCACTGTGACCAGGAAGTTGAATATTGTCGCCACCACTGCTTTGACTGATCGCACTGGAGGAGAGAAAAAACCAACACAAGTTCAGAGGAAGTTCCTAAGGCCGGAGGGGATCATCGTTCATAGCGACGTCACTCTTCCTATCGTTGTGAAGCAGATTCACCAAGCGTTGGATTGTTCACCCGCTAATAGGGAACGTGGGTCTGGTTTGAACCGTCATGAGACAGGTACGTTTTACCCTACTGATGATGTGTTGTTGCAATAGTAATCCTCGGTTATGTGTATGTGATTATCCGCCTGACTGTCCGCAGCTAATATCGCAAACTACTTACTAGGCCATTAGCCTAATATTTATTGTGCCCATTGATAACTGTATGTTCAAGGAATTTGATGTTGTTGTTGCGATGATTGATTCACAGGTTGACTGGTTGACTCCTCTTAACTGGCAGGTTAAGCAAAAGGCATCTTCGTCAATTCGCTACCTTATGCCCTAAACCTTACCTATTCTGTTTCAGGACACAGTTTGGCCATGTTCCATACCCACTGTGTTATAATACACTAGTAAGGCGATTAGGCGATAAATAAATACACGTTTCTGTTTTCTTCACCAGCATTACGACTGTAAGGGAGTGAGGAGGGAGAGTCTAGTAAAATTGATTGGCAGAGGAAGATCTGCACTGTACTGGACATCTTTTTCTAGTTTTCAATGTAATACTTTCATGGCTTTATGTGCTCCCGGTGCCTGTTTCCTTCCAGTAGTTTTGCGCATGGTGCTGCATTGCTTCAACGATGGGAAGGAAGTGCTTAAAAGCTGCGGTGCCAGCAGAAGAAGGGAGAGGTGTCTAATGGAGGGACTGCTGGTGGTTCTGCCTCCAAACCTAGTATTTATCTTTGTTTAGTTTAAAATGGGGGCTCATCTGGGATATGAACCAGAGACATTTTTACATCCCCCAAACTTTTATAATATGAAATACATAAATTATATATAATTCAGCCTCTGATTTCTAGAATTAGGATCCTATAATAAGCGATGGCAAATGTGTATCGCACTCACTTTCCCGTCCAAAATCTGCTAGCGATCCATTGCGGTTGATTTCCTGAAGACAAAAAAAAATATTTATCACAAGGTAAAATATTGGCAAAAATACCAATGTAGTCCTCTGAGATATAATATGTTTATTTTTTATCAAGTATCACATAATATTATCATCAATGCATTGTATTTTCTCCACGTACAGTATAGTAAAATGCTGTCGGTTTTAAAGGTCCCATGTCATGGCCATTTCTACTGATCATAATTCCATTGTTGAGGTCTACTAGAATAGATTTACATTGTGCAATTTTCCAAAATCACATTGGTTTCTCATACAGCATCTCTGTATAGTATGTGTATTCACTCTCTGTCCTAAACGGCTTGTTGGAGCTCCTGCCCCCCCCTCCCTATGAGCCCAGTGTGCTCTGATTGGTCAGCTCGCCCACTCTGTTCTGATGAGTCCACCACCGTTACAGCGGAACTTCAGTGATTATGTGTTGCAATGGAGTTAGCAACCAGAAAATGACACCAGTAATGACAAACAGATGAGAATGATGCATGGGGTCTGGGTGCCGTGTTGGCGGGACGTTGCGCGGCTCGCTGCTGTGAGGAGGGGACAGTGTGAGCTCTATTACTGGTGTCGTTTCCTGGTTGCTGCGTGGGGTCTGCGAGACAGCAAGACATCGCAAAACTCAGCCTGAACTCAGCCTGAGCACCATGGACACGGGAAGGGGGGCTGCTGAGGGGGCTGCAGCACCCCCATCTGCGAGGCTCCACTAGCACACAAGGGGACGGGTAATAACCGGAAAAGCATGACATGGGACCTTTAAGGCTGCAATAAGTCTCACTCAATGAAAGAATGGTATGTTGAATACATTATAATATTTAGATGTGTTTCTGTAATACAGTCTGATAGCATGAATTATATCTTGCCTTTTTTATATGTTTAATGTTATTGTATACTATAGGATAAATTTACCTGAGTGTTGACATTTCGTGTGATTCTGTTGTATTCCTCATTGGCCAGCTTGGCTTTGATCCTCTCAAGACGTGCGACGAGAACTGGGTTCTGAGGGAGAAAAGTCACCATTTTATTTCAATTGTTTGGAACATCTTGAAGTTTATGAGCATACTTGGAAAGGAAAATACTGCACTTAAATGTGTATAGGGATAGGATGCAGCTGTGGGCTCAAAAGACACTAAACTGTTTATTTTATCACAATGGAGCTTAAGTGAATGGTATTTTAACTTGTTAGCTTGCTGCATTGTTTCCTGCATGCTGTGATTACAACAAACACTAATGGACATTTTAGAGATTTAACAGACATAATAGTGCCTGTATATTGGGCGTATCCATGGTTTCACTTACTCTGGGAGGCTTCACAACCTCAGGCAGGTACAGCGAGCTTTCCTCCAAAACCTCATGCAGGTAGAAGGGATGCCCTGCAAGAAAAAAGACAAACATAACTTAACATTACATACTACTGGCATGGCTTCTAGTAGAGACTATTTTATATCGTGTCAGAACTCTTTAGCATTGGTTTGCTAAAGCTTGAAGACAGGAGTTATGTCTTTAATATTGATCACATTAATTGTGACTTTATCTTGGGATGTTGATAAATGAAATAATACAGTGAAAGCTTTATATTTACATTACCAACAGTTCATATTAAGTTCGTACAAAATCCGCCATAAAATTATACTTTACTTTCACAGAGTTTAAGTATTTAACCATCATCAGTCTTGACTCTTCATAATGAATACGAAATATTTATTTTTTATTTTAACCTTTTGAGTGGCAGTTTGTTTACAGTTTGTAAAGACACATTGTGTTTTTAGCTTAGCAAGAACATTTATTTTGATGGATTTCAAGGGGAACTTTTTGTCATCAAGGGTCTGAGTCTCTGTATTTTGGCTATACAGTTTGTTATGGACTTATTGTAAGAGCTGCAATTAAACTTCAACATTCGAAAAGATAAATAGATACATAAGTAAATTATATATATACACAGATAAAAACAAAATGCCTCGTCCAAAAGTGCCTCTACAAGGGTAATTTAGAAATACATAGATAACTATTATTGCCTTACGGTTACTCTATATATAAGGATAACTATATAAAGGAATAAAATACCTTTAATGTAAAGGGTACATAGGCCTACTCCACATATGTCGTTTAAGGAAACAGTATCATTAACGTTAGTACATTACAGAACTTTACCATTGTCCTGGAGGTACTTCTTCAGTGTTCTGGCTGTACTGAAGGACAGGGTTGTGGGTTCTGTTTTTCCAAGTGTCTCCTCCAGTTCTTCCCTCAATCTCTGCGACAGACACGAGTCAGTCTTCTCTAATAATTCGGCCACCTTATTTCTGAATGAATCCCCGACCACAAACGACGAAGCCATGGCTAAATCCACCTGACTGTGACTGGAAGACTGCTGTAAAGCTTCGCAACTGTCTAGAGAAATATATCTTTTGTCAAGCTACTTCACAGTGAACATATTCCTACTTGAAAGGACGTCAATAATATCGTTAACTGTATAAATTAAGTTCGGCGTTTATCAGCTAATAACGCTCGCGAGAGATAAATATAAAACACAAGTAAGCAGCCATGTTGTTTCCCTTGTGACATGATGATGCATTCGATCATGTGACCAACTCATGGGTAAAGAACCGTTACTATCATTGCGCATTTTGTTTCAATGTGTCAAATTTCATTTAAAGTCTTTGTTGACTGTCAAATGTATCTTATATTTTTTGACAAAATAATGTTTTATTCCGTTATCAAACTCTAATGTTTCTCGCTGCACTACGTCTGAAATCCTCTCAGAGGTGCCTTCAAGGTCTGCTCACAAACTCGTCATTCCAAAAGCGTGACGTCCCTTATGTTTCTGATGGGCAATTATTTGAAAATAAAATATTGCTTTTATCGCCTTCTTGCTAAATGTTTATTTTTGTATTTTTAGCATGCACAGCTCTTAATAAAAAATACACAACGCTTTGGATTCAGTCCATCTATTCCTGTGGATGTGGAATTTCCCACAAAATTAACCTTAGAAAAAAACGACAACAATTGTTTCTATCTCATCACCTTCAGTACCATCATGTCTTTAACGTGGATTTTGATTATTTGCCTAGTTTTATTTTTCAAATGGTGTCGAACATCATACCAAACAATCTGATTACAATAAAGTGACTTAATATAACTTCTTCTAATTCACAGAATTACATTTGATTAATAATATGTTTACGTTTATTTATTATAGTGATTAAATATCATTCTTTTGAAGGATATATTCGATGCAAAATGTTAAAGGAATTGTTAAACGTAATTATTTAACGTAATTTATTAATGAATAACCTCTATTTCCTACAAATTCGTGTAATTGAAACAACATGCTTTTCCAAATATCATACTTTGACTGTAACAAGAAAGTTTCTTTTTGTAACAAGCATGTAATGATAACACCAAAAATACTGTCTGTTAAAAAAGGACAAAGAAATGCATGTGTATCTGAAGCTTATAATTGTCCTAAATACGACTCTTTAGACGTCCCCTGAATGCAGCATGTACCCTAATGTAAATGCGTGTGTGTTGAGCGTGCCAGGTCTAGAAACATGGCGGCCTGCGCGTTACGCCGAGGCTTGCTGAGCACTGTCAGTAAATACAACAAGAAACACGTACACAGGATACTGAGTGTGGTGGACAGCAGCAGCGGGTCCGAGGCGTTCAGACCGCGGGTTAAATGCTTAGCCTGCGGGCTGTCCGGCGGCTTTCAGCAGAAGAGGTTCATGTCGTCACGGTAAGAGTGTCCTCCTCTGTCAATGCTAACATGCTAAAGACTTTAGCTAAGCCCTTCAAGATGACACCGTAAAACAAACTCTGGTCACGTTGTTGTTGAGGGGACACATTCCTCGAGACGGTGCCTACGTGGTGTGCAAACATGAGCTAACAATTAGCAGCGCAAAAAGGAGAAAATGCTGTTGTCCTCTGCTTTTCATTAGCTAGCAAGGTAACCAGGAAGCATGGATTGGGCAACATCTGATCTAACTGCCTGCAACCTGCTGAGTCAAAGCATGTTACATGTCAAAACATGTGTGCATCCCTAGGTGCTGCCCACTGTTAGGAGTTAACACCCTCTCATTGCATTAAGAACTATTAAGATGAGTGGCATTATGATGCAACGAACTGTTCATTATCAACAGAGGTATAGGAAGTACTCAGATCTTTATAGTAGCAATTCTTCATTGTAAACATACTCTGTTACAAGTCAAAATTGTACTCAAGTAAAAGTACCAAAGTATTGGCATCAAAATGTACCTCAAGTACTCAAAGTACTCATTTTATAGTATGGCCCATATCAGATTTAACAATATAACATGTTTGTATTATAATTATTATTGCATAAATGTCAATGTTGCACTTGGTAAAGGTGGGGATTATTTAAATTACTTGATACACTGCTGGGTAGCTTAACCTTTAATAATACATACTGATTTGTTGGTTGATTTATATTCTGATTTATAAATCCATACCTGCAAAGTAGGTAGTAACTACATTTGACTAATACAAAAAAGGTGGAGTAAAAAGTGCAAAATAGCATCCAAAATGTAGTAAGTAAAAGTTACATTAGCATAACATGAAAATACTCAAGTGAAGTATAAGGACCTCACAATTGTACTTAAGTACAGTACTTGAGTAAATGTACTTAGTTACATTCCACCACTGATAATCTACCATGACATACTACTCAAAGGCATTGTTTATGCAGGAAACTCTTACTATACTGTGTCTAGGTTTGATGTAGCGTAATCAGTGATTGTGTACATAGGCCTTGTCAGTGGTGGATAGTAACAAAGTACATTTACTCAAGAGCTGACTTACAATTTTGAGATACTTATACTTTACAAGAGTATTCACAGGTTATGCTACTCTATACTTCTACTCCACCACATTTTAGAAGCCAATATTGTACTTTTTACTCCACTTCATTTATTTAGCTGTACGTTACTGGTTCATTTTAGATTTAGATATTACAATACAAAATACTAATATAAATTAAGTATTAAATGAACTTTGACATATATTTATAGGCTAATATATCCAGCAGCAGTATATAAAGTTATTCAAATTTGCTCTACATTTACCAGCTTTTATAAAAAACACATCAATAATAATAATACTTTGTTACCCTAACAGAAACAAAAGAGCACAATTATTAAGATATGTGAATGTTCTCACTGTTTCACAGTATCAGATCTCTGTAGTGAAAAGACCCTGATGAAATATTCTTAAACACTAGCTGAGAAAGATATATATATATATGTCAAAGATAACATATATTTACCTGCTGCCACTTATGCATCGTCTGAATATCATTTAAGCTTTAATTTGATTGAAGTGTTGAACAACCAAGTCATTGATTGGATGTGACATCACACAGATTGGGGTTGTAGAACTTCCTGTCAGAGTAAAACGGTAAATGGCCACAAATTGAGAAAAGGCTAGATCTTTGAGTTAAGGCACTTGGCACTCATCTCCATTTGCAAGATTGAAACGGACAAATCTAAAGGACAAAATTCATTCTCAAACATAATCTAAAAATAGGCAAATTTAAAAATGATAACCAAAATATGGTGCAGCAGAAACAGTTGTTATTAGTGTTTTAGGCAATGTTTGTTCTTTTAAAAGTTGTGTTATATGTACAAAATATAAATGAAGCTGAATTTGATCAATTGTATTTGTTCCAAGAAAAATTCTTAACAGTCAGATTTCCAGATACGACAAGAGTTTTCAGACTTAGTACTATCATCAGTTACATGGGGACTGTTGCGATGACTAAACACGGACTCTTCTGAGGAGAAATTGCAAAGGCAACTTAAAAAAACGAGTATTTCAAAAAGAAAAGGTTTTAATTTTTCTAAGATGGAATAGCTAATCTCTTCAAAATGTGTTTCCTCCTGGTTCATTGCTCTAACTCCAAGTCGATTTTGATTAAATTATCAGCTAAACAAAATGTAGTGTTGAGTATTTTAGGCCAAACTGTTGCAAACAAATATTATTTCTGACAGCTCCTATTTGTTGTGTGAGGTCGTGTGAAGCCGAAGCATTGTCTTTCAAAGGCTGTGATTTAGTGCAGTGAGAAACCAGTTGGTCCTTTTAGTTTCTGAAGCCGCCTCCACTTTACTAAACAGAAACAAAGAGCTGTAAGAAACTTGGTCAGATAATGACAGAAAGCTGTGTATTTGTCAAATATAGCTCCGTGAAAGGAAGTTAAGGTGGGTGTACACACAGCCCCCTCTAAGTTTGAAATACCTGAACGGATTCAGCACCAGCTCTCACTTGGTGTATGTAACCTGTGTAAACAACACTCCTGTCTTATTGGCAACCTTTCTCCGACATGATGACAGCTCCGTGGCACACTGACCTGGCTTCACAATAGGAAAAGGATGAAGTGAAATGGATGGTTCCTGTGTTTACTGAGAGCACTTGGCTAATTACCAGGGTCGCTTTGGGCTGAGGGTTTGCAATGGGTTAGCTATATTTAGATCTGGTTATCTCTGCTCAAACAGTGTATTGATAGATCGTTGTAGAGACAGAACAGAAGTTTGCAAAGTGGAATGACTGCTTTCACATTTGCATCATATATTGATATCTACATAGTGTTTTCTATTTCAAATAATGAAATTAGTGCTGTCAAACGATAATGTTTTTTCACTTTAATCCGTAATAATCTATGATGAATCAGGTTTCAGCACAATTTTAAAATAGTAGTATTTACTTTTTTGGGGGGGGATAAAACTAATAAACGTGTGGTGTTGTTCTACGGAAATACATGACAACTAGAGACAAATCAAAGTGTTTTTTTTTTAACTTGTTTATATCATGATTTCTGAATTATTGGAGTTAAGTCCGTCAATATCCTGACACGTCGCTAAAGCACTCAACAATCAAAGGTGATCTATTTCATTTAGAAAATTCCACTTTTTTAAAACCAACATGGCTCACTTCAAAATGTTGTTTCAAAACAAAACCCATCATCACTTCTGGCTTTATGATATGACGTAAAATGATTTGCTACCACCATTTTTCCATTGTGATGTTTGTTTAAACAGACTGAAGTGTCATCTGTTTGACTTAAATCAATTGTTAAAGCCGTTGTTATGGAGAGCTGCTGCGATTTATAATGTGCACAACACAGTGCATATGCTGGAATCCTGCTAACGCTTTCAAACTGCAAGCCCTAGTTTGTGCCAGTTCCTCTACTTTATGGGCGTTTTCTCTGCCATGCATTTCATGGTAAACCTCTCCGCTGGTACGACGGCAGGAAGTTGGGGTCAAACTTTGCAATCTGATCAAGTTGCGTACATGTTTTTTTTAGCACATTAAAGTTTCCAGAATATTCCCAAGCCTTAAAGTTGACAGCCCTCAATTAAATACATTTCATGTGAAACACATTTAAAGTAGGGTTTGTTTTAAGTCCAAACACGATTTTTTGATTGCTATAATTCTGATATTTCTTATGTCAAACAAAGCACCCCCCTTATCTCAGATGTCTCTATTCAGTGCAATGGATATGAGTCATAGCATCTCTTCAGGGCAGCACATAGTGTTACTTGGCATCCTATGAATAGACACGTGTGTATATATAAGCAGATATAATGCTGCAGTCAAGACATGTTGGAAGCGCTTATCAGAAGAAATGCATGAATGAATCATGAATCAGTCCCTAAGATATTTGGCCTTATTACCAACAATGTCCCTCTTTTACATATTTAGAATCCTGAGAAAAAAAACTTGGTGTACATGATTTAATTATGTGAAATCATCACATCTATGTTGCGTATCTTTAAAAGTATAAATGCCCGGAAGAAGCTCCGTTAGACCAACCTGTTTTTATCAAGACTTTTACCCGTAGGAGTTATTTTTTAAAGAAGTCATGACTCCTAGCAAGGGAACATGGATTTAAAGAAAGCACAGTATTGAACATATTTTAAAAATATCTGCTTTGCAATTGTTGTAATTTAACATGATTGGCTGTTTCCAAATATCATCTCCATCTACATTGTCGGATATGTAATGGTAGTCTGAAGAATCAATGCAAAACTACTGATTGTCCTTAACACGAGACAATTGGTTTGATTTAAGTTGGACTTGAAACATATTTTTCATAGTAAAATCAGGTTACCTTGTGATTATTTTTGCTCAATACACCCATGATAAGAAAATAACCTGAGACCAACCTATTGTGGGATTTAATCCCACATATATCCACCTCATTAATCCCCCCTCTTCATCTCCGTTGTAAAGATTAGCTTTGCAGGGAGCACAGAAGTATGCGTGTTATTTATTAGAAGTGACCAGCTGTTGTTGTCAGTGGTGATATTATAATATATATAAGTTTGTGTGTGTGTGTGTGAGGCTGCAGGCAAGAACATTGAGATTAGGACAAATTATATTCCTCTTGTTGATATCTAAAAAGTCGAGGTGTTTTATTCAATCCTGTCAAAATTGTGATTGAGATTACGACTGAAGGGGGGCGGGGGTGATGGGAGGATGCAGCAGGATTTTCTAAAGGGATGAATGTAAATCGTCTCTATAGGAGGGGAAATCCTATTCTCTTCAGAACTGAGGGATTCCCTGCCCAAGCTCCTCAGGGACTTATGGACTGTTTGTGTTTGTCCACAGGAAGTTGTTTTGATCAAAGTCCTCTTGTTTTGCTTATGTATGTTAGTTTGTGGTCTTGTGTTCTGAGGTGGGTTTTAAACTAGTGCTGTCTATCAATAAAACAATTTCAATCATGTTAGTCACACTAGTATTCACCATTTTTGGTGGGAGATACATCTAATACACGTGTGGTGTGTTAATAAAGAAATGCATGAAAAACGGTCAAGTCAGAGGTTTTTGACTTTTAATATCATGAAGTCCCACAATTTCCCGACACTTGGCTAAAGCAACGACAAAGCCGCTGTCATCGAGAGCCGCTGCGATCACCCTCTGTCAAATGTGCGCCAAACAGGACATATACTCGTATGGTAGCATTCATATTGCAATGACCCTCTGCATAATGGGCGCTACGCTTTCTTTGCCTTTTCACGGCCGTGCAGCTCATTGTCACGTCCGCGATGGAGTTACGGGTCAACTTTGGGTCAAACTTTCTAATGTGAATAAATTGCGTTATTTTTTTAGCAGGTTAAGGTTTCCAGATTAATCACCAGTGTTAACGGGCCTATTAAAACACCCTTGAATGCACACACAGGGTTCAGTGTGTAATGGTGTTGCCTGTGTTTGGCAGGAGCAGGCCTGAAGGGAAGATTCTGGAGACGGTGGGAATGTTTGAGGCTGTGAAGCAGCACGGCAAATATGAAACGGGACAGGTGAGTCACACAAAACAAACGCATCACCAATTGGATAGCTCTTATCAGACCTCCTTTTGAATAATACTGTATTATCCTATGTTTTCTGGGCTGTTTTTAAGTTTTGACACAACATTAAATTAGTTTTGTTATGATAGCACATTGATGTGATCCTGTCAAGTGACTGTAATCCCATCTACTTTCTTTTATTAAGCCCCCTGCAGATGTCATCTCACAGCAACTCATCCAATGTGTGCTTGTTGTTCTCTCCTCAGCTGTTTCTCCACAGTGTGTTTGGCTACAGAGGCATCGTCCTGTTCCCCTGGCACGCCCGCCTCTACGACAGAGACATCACCCCTCCCATGTCTGAAAGGTAAACCTCCACTTCTGGCTTTAGACTACACCGAACAGTCCTCATTGGCTTGTTTGGAGGCTTGTTTAACTGAGATCTTTTTGTATCTCTTACTTTCTCCCCTCAGTAAACCTGACGCTCCGGGTGCACACGGCTCCAAGGAGGTGAAGGGGAAGACTCACACATACTACCAGGTCCTGATTGACACCAGGGACTGCCCTCATATAGTAAGTCACTATACAGTTACAGTTAGGGGTGCATACCGGTTCCCGGTATTACCGAAATACCGGTTACTGGTGGCTACGGTATACCGTACCGAAATCAGATCCGGTTTGCGATACTTTTTTTTTTTTTTTTTTTATAAAAGTGAGGCATAATATCCTTAAACTTGTGCCCAAACCGTCGGAATTACGATGTCAATTTCGCAGTGAAACTCCGCAACCAAGTCACTTTTGAAAATCTAAAGTGTGGCTGCATATGACTGCCAGTCTGAATGGTGGGGTCTGTAACCACTGCCAGTCTGAATGGTGGGGTCTGTAACCACTGCAAGAAGTTTATTTCTGGGAAAGGTGGCAACACATCCAATCTCCAACCAATGCTGTCTCGTATGGCAACCAAGTACCTTTGTGTTCAGGGAAGCAGCGTGCCAAGCGAGAGAGAGTTCAGTTCAGCAGGTGATATCCTACGCTGTGAAAGGGCCCGTTTGGATCCAGAGAGAGCAGATATGCTCATCTTCTTGAAGATGAATGCACAAAACTGAACTGTGATGGGATTTGTTTTCTTTCATCAGGCAAATGTTGATTTTAAGGATGCTATTTGTTTTATGTGCAATGCCGAGATCTCATGATCCTTTATGTGTTCTCTGGTCAGTCGAATCTCAGGTTGAATATTGATTATACTGGTGCTATTTTATTTTTCCATTGACAAGATGTACTATTCCCGCCTGATGGTTGTTATAAATGATATTGCAGAATCAGTTTTCTTCATAGATAACGTGTTTTTCATTGTTTGTTCAGTACTAAAAGGTCCAAGTCCCACAATTGAATTTAATATTCATTTGACATGTTAACTATATAATAAAGCGCTTCATGGGAGTAATTGCGGGATGATAAAATGTTTCCCTTATGCAACATGAAAGTATCACGATATGTATCGGTTGAGTATCGGTATCGTTCAGTGGTATCGGTATCGGTATCGTAAAAAAGTCAACGATATGCATCCCTAGTTACAGTAGGGTTTTTTTAGGACCACCTTACATTGCACATACATCGGAGGAAGTCAAGACAAGCAAGAAAGTGGAGCTGGTTGAATCTCAGTAACACATTTGGAATTTCAATAACTATTCATTTTGCCATTATTCCTTATATTTACTGCATCATTTAAGTCCAGATTTCAACGGAAATCCTCTATCCCTCACATTTAAAAAAATAGTAAGCCATATTCACATTGCTTCAAAATAAAATATAAATAATGAATACTTGTTCTTAAACCCATAAAATCCTAATAATTAAATTCCTAGTTGTTACACTCACTTCCACAGACCTTTGGGACAGACATTTGATAAGAGTATGTGACGTTTTTTTCCTTAACACATATTGTCCTTGGAGAGGTTATAATATATCTTAAAGAGGCCCTATTAAGCTTTTGGGGGTTTCCCCTTTCCTGTAGTGTGCTATATAGGTTTTTGTGCTATATAGGTTTTTGTGCATGTAAATGGTCTATAAGGGCTAAAATCCCAAATTCTTATGAGAAATATTACAATACATTTAGCTGACGCTTTTATCCAAAGCGACTTACAATAAGTGCATTCGACCAAGAAGATACAAACTTGAAGAAAACAGAATCATATAAGTACATCAGGTTTCATAGAGCCAAACAATTTCAAGTGCTACTCAACTGGCTTTAGATAAGCCAGTCCTTTGTTAGTATATAAGTTGTATTTTTTTCATTTTATTGCTCGAAGTGGAGTCGAAAGAGATGAGTTTTCAGTCTGCGCCGGAAGATGTGTAAGCTTTCTGCTGTCCTGATGTCAATGGGGAGCTCATTCCACCATTTTGGAGCCAGGATATAAAGCACTTTTTGACCATTTAAGCATGTAAACATGAAGTGCAATGAGTGTTAATGCTCTAGGGAGACAAAGCTAGAACAGTGTTAGAATCTAGCTCTGGTTGTCCTGTCAGCAGTGTGTCTCTGTGTGTTCGACAGTCTCAGAGGTCCCAGACGGAGGCAGTGACGTTTCTGGCAAACCATGACGACAGCAGAGCCCTGTACGCTATCCCAGGTATGCACAGTGTTCAGGACATAGCACTTCAATGATACATTACAAAGGTTCTGTCAGGTTAAATGCTTTAAGCAGACCTAATTAAACACTCATTCTACCACCACACCACTTTCCATTGTCAAATTTCCCTTTGAAGATTCAAGTATTTAACACCCACTCTTAACATTTTGATAAATTAGATCCACTACAGCAATGTTTTAAAGCTAGATGGCCTATTACTGCTGTTATTTCATTTATTCAAAACAATGATGAAGGACATAGTTGAGCTTTAATTTCAAAACGATGATGTGTTAACTGAATTAAACAGAGCGCACAAGGCGAGATTGCCTTCTAGGTTACCATACACACACCATTACATGCACATGGTCAACATTACAACCATTAAACTCTAACGAGAACAATGAGGGTAAAACGCCAATCTGTTTTTGCAAATACTCCCTAGCTTAGCTAAAAACACCAATACTGTCATTAGTGAGTTGTTCACTACGGAGTCTGCTCTGATGGACATGTTGTCATATCACTGTTGTATATCCCATTTCTAACAGTTTTGAATGGGGCATTCATGATAAACAATACAAATAAAAAGCTATGAGGAAATAGTCCAGCTCAGCTTGTAAAGAGGATTCAATATATATATATATATATATATATATATATATATATTTTTATATGTATTGTGTTGTATAGGTTTTTTTCTGTGCATAAAGGCTTAAATCTCTCTATTCCCTCCAGAGGGAGTTTCTCTCCCCCACACTCCCCCCCCGCCTGAAACACCTCCATTGAACTCCTTTGTTTACTACCGTAACATAGTGACATCACTTTGTAAAACTTACGCTTGTATGTGCTAGCACTCCAACACATTGTATGTGACGGGCCACTCACCAGTTTAGCTCCCACAGTATATTACACTTCCCCTTTGAGGCATTCATTGCTCTCCGTCTCGTCCCCATGTGACCGTGTGTGTGTTTCTGTCATCAGGTCTGGACTATGTGAGCCATGAAGACATCCTGCCCTATAACTCTACGGAGCAGATCCCCATCCAGCACGAGCTGTTTGAGCGCTTCCTCATGTTCAACCCTGCCAAAGGTACGCTCTCTTCTGGAGCGGCCACATCATTCTTCACACACCTTTTACAATGCAGAGTCTCACTTTAGTCTTGTCATTAACCATCGTTAACGAATGTCATTGCTATTAATCGTAGTCATAGTATTTTATTCTAAGTTAAATATTGTAGATCTTTAAGCAGTTGTCTGTTTAGTTATTATTCTTTTTTTTCAAAGCCATTAAAGCAATATTTTACCCACAAAACGACCATTTGAATATCAATTACTTACCCTGTGATACCTTGAATTAATTAAGAAAATGTTGATATTTCTGCATGAATTCAAAAAGGATAAGTGTTCAATATGAATGGAAGTAAATGAGAGCTTAGTTAAACAGAAGCAAAACTATGCATAGTTTGTAAAATGATGTATTGATACTGTTTTGCTGCTGTTCACACAGCCCCTATTAATTCAATTCCTAAGAACTTAATGTGTTTTTCGATCCTTGTTCACTGTCAAGCCCAACCAGAAACATTTTCTAAGCAAATAAATGTATCGCGTTGTGAGTTTTGATATACAAATGGTCCTTTTGTGGGTGAAATATTCACTAAATAGCTATGATGGTTGGCTGTCTAGTGTTTTACAAGCCAATATCGAATGAATGATTGTATTTCCCTGATACAATGAGTCATATTTAGTTTCACTTCTGGTTCGGATCTGACCATTGACATTTACCGTTTACGTGGTCGATGTAACAAAAAACAGTATTGTGAGTAAACATGTGCTTTGTCCTGTAGCTCCACCATTTACACCCAGAGACACCCTGAAGGCGTGGCAGGAGAAGAACCACCCCTGGCTGGAGCTGTCAGATGTCCACAGGGAGACCACGGAGAACATCCGGGTCACCGTCATCCCCTTCTACATGGGCATGAGGGTAAATGACCAAACAGCATCTAAGTTCAGAGATATGAAGCTGCTGCAAACACAGCCTGTAGCACACTAGCTCGAGTATTAGCCACATCGCACTGACCTAAATTTAGGTCTGCAAATCGAGACTATGGCTGTGACTCTTGTTGTTTTCTGTTTTGGTTGGTTCTGTTAATGCTAATGGATATTCTCTCTGATTCTCAGGAGGCCCAGAACTCCCATGTATACTGGGTGAGTAGCAGATGTTTCTCTTCTGTGGGGAATATGTAGTCACTTTGGGAAATGAACACCAGCTACAAGCACTGCTTTATTCCACCTTAGTCTGCATACTCAGTACTCTGACGCTTGTGTGTGTTGTCTCCCTGCAGTGGCGGTACTGTATCCGTCTTGAGAACATGGGCGCCGAGGTGGTTCAGCTGAGAGAGAGGCACTGGAGGATCTTCAGCCTCTCAGGAACCCTGGAGACCGTCAGAGGACGAGGAGTCGTAGGGAGGGTCAGTACACCAAAAACACCCACCCATATACACGCACACACACACTGTATCAGAGTTCTAGACCAGGGGTACTCAAATACAAATCTTAAAGGTCCAAAAAAACAAGACAAAGGTCCATTTATTACGGTCATTCAAACTTTTAAACAATTGCAACAAGATTCTTAACACGAGGTTGCAAAAACAAAAATAATCTGTATGCAGCAGTTTTCATTGTTATTGTGTCTGTGCTTGATCCCTCAGAGTCGCAGTGTGAGCTGCACAGCTATGAATAAAGGCAGCTGCACCCTCTTTCATTTAGCATTCCCATTATTGCTTTATAAATGTCTTGCCCCCTTGTGTGTCCACTGAGGTTCGTCAGGCCCAACACATCTTCAACAACTCCCCCTTTGCCTCATCATAAAAACTCACAAACACCAGCAACTGAGCATTGTCAGTGGTGTCAGTGGACTCATCCACAGCTAAGGAAATGCACTGTGCATTTTTTATTCCATCACAAAGCTGATTAATCAAATCACCAGCCAGTATTTATGTTGTTCTGGTTTCTGTGGCATCTGAGAGGGGGATTTGCTTGATTTGACCTGTTATTTCCTCTTTTTGTTTGCCTTCAAACATGGTCTCCATCACTTCAGTTCATGCATTCTTTTATACTTCAGTTATTATTCAGTGGAATGTCCTTACCTACTGGCTTAGTTAAATCAAAGTGGTTACTTTTTTTTGGCTGGGCAGTGTAGTTTTACACACCGTCTTATTTGACTTTCTCAGGACTTAAAACTGTTTTTTGGGGGCAGACCCCCACAAAGAAAAAAATATATTTACACACGTAAGGTCATCTTAACGGTGTTGTATGCTCATCCGTGAGCAGAGCATCAAGTTGACATGTCTATTACAGCTGAATGTGGCGATTACCATCTTGTTCAGCAAAACGCCTCACAAACGTATTAAGATCAACAGCTTTAGTGCGTTTTGATTCAATGCTGAGTACAGCCAAACTTGACAGTCTCTTCTCTGTCATTGTAGACCGCAAATACCTCATTCCTTCAGTACTTGGGTCAATCATATTTCCACGCTCGCGCCAGGGCCGGGGGAGGGGTTACAAGACGTGCATCTTGTGCTGCATTCACTTGCACTCGGACATTAGAGACTTTCTCTCATAAATGTCAGATGAGCCACACCTTTTCTTTCAAAACAAAGCTGCCAACTGGGGTGGCAGGGCCTATTTTTAGGGTGGCAGTTGCCACACCCCCATGCCACCCCGGTAGGTGAAACTAGGCTACTAGCTACAGTACAGATGCAACTAGATGAGCTGTTAACTCTCGCTCTGACTTTTTTTTTTTTAAACTCTCGCTCTGACTCAGACAGGTTGAAAGAGACGACACGACACACGCATTTTTCCCACCCGCATTCCGCGAAGACCCGCCCTACTGTGCCTCTGATTTGCAGACTTTTGGTGGAGGGGGAAAAACGCTGACGGGATGCTGAATGTGATTGGACCAATGCGTTGACAGACACACACAGACAGTGGAACAGTCGGAGATGCAGAGCGCTGTTTGCAGTGGACATAGCGGAGAATGTTGACTCGTTGCGTTGTGGCGATGTCTCGCAGATAATACAGATAATACAGATAATACATATGAAAAGTATAATTTGCTCAGAGTCCAGAGACAGTTGTGGTTCGATCCGGACCGGAGTCCGGACTTTGTGGATGCCTGTTCTAGACCATCAGGAGAAGTGTCAGTTTACACCGTTTTACATCCACAGCAGCAACAGCCAAAGATGGGGGCCTTATTTTTTCAAATGGCCCCTAGGTCCTATTTAGGAGAATGCGATGTCACAGGAGGGCGGGGAGAGAACTTTGTTTCAAATTGGCAACAAACATCCTCAGTCGCTCAACGATGAACTGAATTGGGTGGTCAAAGGTCAAGATTTCGGTGACTTCATAAAACACATTTTTGGCCAACAAACACAAATGAATGCGCTAATTATGACTATTGTAAACAAATGATGACACAATTATATTTTTAACCTTGTGAATTATATTTGTTATCTTAACATCTTCACACCAGGTTTTCAGTTTCTGTAAGATGTTAATGTCCTGGAAAATGTGAGAAATTCCGGTCAAATATGATCTGTGTAGTTAAAGGCTGAGCTTTTAAAGGCAGGCTATCTAAATAATGACATCATAAAGCCATGCACATTCATAATACTTTCTGTTTGCAGAGCTGCTACGCTACCAACACAATCAATACAACTGGCTTATGGGCCTAAAAACGCAGCCAAAGCAAACGTAATGAAAGGAGTCATTTTAAATGTTACTGGATTTTTACTGGTACTGACTTTAAATATCCTATCTTTAACGTTAACAATACTGTTAAAAAATGTTTAGTTTTGTCCCTAATGCGTACTAAAAACTACTCCCTAGGAAGTCCAGATAACTATAAAATACATTTGTTATCAGACGTCAATCCAACTACATCTTTGAAAAAACCTTCAATTTATTAATGTTTTTTTTCTAGCTGTGAGCAGCTTCTCCCTCTCCATTATAGGACAAAAGTGCGCATCAACAATGATTTGTGTAACCTTGTCATTTTGTTCTTGTGTGTTTGTGTGTGTGCTGTAACAGGAGCCGGTGTTGTCAAAAGAACAGCCGGCCTTTCAGTACAGCAGCCATGTGTCTCTACAAGCCCCCAGCGGACATATGTGGTGAGTTTGCTCCGTCTTGCATCACTCAACTGTTAAATAAATCACATCACTGCTTCATATTCTGCTGTTTCATATTCACCTTCAAAGGCTTAACATAACTTGAAATATGCTCGTACATATGTCTGAAACTAATTCATGCTTTACTCTGTTATTTATGTTTAGGGGGACGTTTCGTATTGAAAGAACCGACGGCTCTCACTTCGATGTACGCATTCCCCCCTTCTCCCTGGAGAGCAACAAAGACGACAAAGCGCCCCCTGCTGGCTACACGTTCTAACTGCCCGTAGTCTCCCCCCCCCCCGCCTGAGAGGCCCTGACACTCCGTCAGTCCTGGTCCTCTCTGGGTTGTCTGGATTTGTCCTTCCCTCTGTAACACTGCCTGACTAGCGTGAGTCAGTTATGCAAAGGAGAATTATAATTTTCTTCATCATCCAAACAAAGGCACGTCTTTCCCTTTACTGTGAGAGTGCATCAAACAGCAATATGTCATTAGGTTAATCATATAGAGTGGTGTAGTGATGGCATGTTTGTGTAGGTCAACCTGAAAGTTAGCATCACAAGGGCTGCCTCGACAGAAAGCAATGGGATTTTCAATATGTATGGAGGAAAATAAGCTTTGTGGCCAACACACGTTAATGATACTGAACAGCTAGAAGATACGGACATTCACGAGTTGGGTGTTTAATGACATATTTTATGTTGTAGGACAAAACACGGACCTTATTTCAGGCTTCTAACCAAAAACATGTTTAAAACCCAATGACTTTGAGACAAGGGAACCTGAAATGGTCTAAAATAATTTCCTGATTTTAGAACTCATGACTGCGCCACTTTGTATGATATAGAAGAGAGATCTTCACTGTGTGTTTAAAGAGACATGCAGTCAAGTGGAACAGTGCTGGGAGGTTGATTTGTTGTTGCCAAGCTGAGCTGGACACTTTGAGTATCTGACAGCTGAACATCTTCGCAGGTTGGTTTTATTTCCTGCTGAGCTCTGAAAAGAGAAACAGCTCCCACTGAGCTTCACACCGAGGCCTCAGTAGGACACTTTTAAGTGAACATTAAGCCATCACTTTAGCTACGTGTTACAAACTATTCTTTGATACTTTCTGTTTGAATTTAGGATTCACGCATTACTTTTATTTTGGACCCGATTTTACGATCATGTTTTTAATCAAGCCTGGTCACAGTTCAGTGGTGTCAGAGCTGTGTGGGCCGCTGATGGAAGGGAAATCGGATGAAATTCTGGTCTGCTTTTAGTGCTGAAGTTAGTGTCTGACAACATTATAGCGCAGCGGATGGAATTAGGGTTTGACACTCGTCAACAGAAAATACGATTTTTCGCTTTCTCATTTGCGCTGTCTCAGAAATGCTCTTGTATCTTTTCTGAGTCGTACATTTCGATGAACACTATCAAAACATCTGTCAATATTACAGATAATCTTTATTTTTAGTCTGCATCATTTAGATGCATTCTGAGGAGATTTTCTTGATCTGTGATTCTCTTGATCGGTGCTTCAAAAACTGGGATTTCCATCCGCATGTGATCCAATGGTGTCAAAGATCAAACTGAGTGAACTGTATGTGTTGGCAGCCAAAAAAGAATCCCTTCTTTGCCGGAGCGTTGAGCTGAGTTCTTGTGTTAGAATAACAAATGCAGCACACCTTTATTAAAAAAAAGAATGAAGTTTTAACTCGTGAACACCTCTGGTTAAAGCCTATTGTTTGTATTTGGATCTGTGACACGGACAGTTCTCAGCCTGGATTTTCTCCCTGGTAAAGTGAGCAAATAAAGCTAACAAAGTGATTTGAGGTAACTGATTGTTGAAATTCTACTGTAAATAAAGATGTAAGTAAAGGCATAACAAATAAATGATACCTTTTGAAAAGCCCATGTTGACATTTCTTGTGTTAGTCTCAAGGCCAATACAGTTGATATGAGAGAAGAAAAAACAATCTTAATCTGTTAAATGATCTTCAATCATTTAAAAAAATCGACTTCCTTTCTCATACACAGTAGGCCTACTACTAATATTACTACTACATGAAGATTGTTGTTTTAAAATGATTTAGTTTATGAACTTCAAACGGCCACCACCAGAGGTCAGTGCAATCTTTCCTTTATTTTTCTGTCTACATATACTGTAAATCAGAGGTGTATGTACCATGTGATCAAACGGCATTGAATCATGCTGATAACATGAAAATAACTACATACTTCCTTTGTAGAATGGAATAGTCTATATATGCTTTATTTCAGTTTATCTGAACATCTTTTAAATTTCACTTGCACTTAATGGTGAGGTAAAACTACAATTCTTGCATTAAAAAAAGAAATCTCTATTCTAGTTCATGCTAAATGAAAATATAAGAGTAGGCCGAACATAGTGTCTTGTATTTTCTATGCAAAAAGCCAAACTCGATATGAAAATCTATCTTTTAAATATTGCTATGTTGCTTATGACGAAGACCAAATCATTTACAAACATTTACAAATTAATAGTTTTCTCTGCGATATAATACATTCGACACTACTTCGCATATTTAAACTATTTTTAAGTTGTAGGCTACGTAGGCCTATTTAACAAAGGTATTTTCAGTAGGCCTACTATAGATGAAGGTACATAATCCAAAGGTCATATCTTTGTGTCAAGTTGTGTCAGGATTTACCCTCGCCACTATGCTAGCCAGCCACATTGCACAATTTGTTTATTCGATAATAAAAAAAAATAACTGTCTAATAAACTATAGGCCTATGCCGATTAACTAGAAGACCATAAAGGATATAACAACGTATGAGTCATCTTGAACCAAACCTGTCAACGTATGGAAAGCAGCAACGCTACATTAAAGTGACGCATTAATTAATGAAAATTGGCACAGCCGGAGAAGAAGTGTCGTGTCGAGCTGAAACTGCAAACTTGGCGATGTGCTCGTGCTCCTGCCCAGCCCTACCCATTACTCTGCGAGGAGGGTGGACTTGTGCTCATGTGCACTCTCCGCGCGCCCCCCATTCAGTTGAACAGAGGGTGCGATACATAATTCAGTCCCAGCGAGGGAACACCAGCCCGGCCTGTCAGCCCGCGGAGCCGCAGCCTGTGTCGAACTGAGACGCCAGTGCGGCTGCTTCCTGCTCCGGAGCGGATGGAGACTCAACCTTGGAGAAGGACGAATGCGGGGTTTGTTTCAGCCTATGCGTGCCTTTCCAGCGGCGGAAGGACAGGGCAGAGCGAGCAGCAGACATCAGCGGTGATCTTCAGGAGACGTAAACATTGCCATGCCCTGCTGCATGCACCACCTTCTGCGATCCGTCTCCTCCTTGTCCTCCGAGCTACTGTTAACAGAAAACAGCAGAGAAGAGTAGGAAAATAACCCTGCTGCCGAAGGTACATTATTTTAGAGATGTGGTGAAGTTGCGTGTGGGATAGGAGGCTGCAGCCGTCTGCACTGAAGGCATCCTGCATCCTGACTGCTGTGTCCGTGTTTTGCGGTCATGCTGCAGGCAGCATCCTCCGAGCTGTTCCCGACCTGAGCTGCTCTCTCTGGGATTTACAAGTTCCTGAAAGCAGACAACTAGTAGCTCCAATTCCTAATGTTATGGAGTAGTGTTTTGTATTCTTGGACTTTTCCTTCTTCTTTGTAACACTGAACATTTTTCCTTCGCAGTTTGGAGTTGTATTACTCACAGATGCTTTAGCCCCAAACTGCCGAAACATATGATGATCTGCAGGCTTTTTGAGTGTCTTACCATTACTCAAACCTGCCTCGGCATGACTTCTTGGTAGGACTGGTCTTGTTATTTTCACAGTTCACATTAAACGCAACACCATGGGTGCCAAGCAGACCAAAGGCCAGGAGCCCGGAGGACCGAGCCCTCAGCACAGCTGGAAGCGGACCCCCACCAGGGAGCGGGGGGACATCCTGGCCTCCCTCATGCTGAAGTCAGGGGACCGGCTGGGGCGTGGAGGGACGCCGCCGCCTTACCAGCGCCGCATCGGCATGATCCAGGAGATGATGCTGATGGCCAAGCAGGGCAAGCAGGACGAGGCCACGGAGATGCTCAAGACACTCCGACAGGTGTGTATAAAAGTAAAGCTCTCAAGGGTCACAAGTTCACATTTCTAGCTCAAGAGAACATCATCCGTAAATTCCTGTTCTATTCCAATGGATATAAATCTGTAGATAAGGTGGTAGAACTCAAAGAACAGCCCTATAAATAAGAATATGCTATTGGTTTAGTCTACGGCTGGTCAGGGCAGACCATCCAACTAGGAGCAGGCGTGTGTAAGGGTTTAAGGTTTGTAATAAACTTCAGTGAAGGTACAGTAGGTAGACGGTATCTAACGAGCGTAGGCATTTAGAAGATGCATTGCATTCATACTAACAACTTTACTATAGTCTCGCAAAGACATAAAGGTTGCATTGACAAGTCTTTTTCTGCCTTCGCAAAAAAACCATGACTTGTTTTTTAAAGTAGAAATATTATTGGCGTTCTTTCTTTCTCCTGCCTCTATTCATTTCTGTCTGTGTAAGCATGTTGTCTTCACTGGGGCTGAAACAGAAGCCAGTCTCAGACGCGGACACTGACTAAACTGATCGATTGGCTGCGAACATTACTGATGAATTCAGCCCCCTGGCTGGACCTGTTGAGCTGTGGCTCTGCTGCACTGGCACAGTGTGGACACAGCTACAATTTATTACCTCTTTCCGTCTTTCAAGAGGTTTGCAGTGCTAGTCTGGCTGGCTGCTGTTGTTGCTACAGACAGAAGCCAAAGTAAAGCACAGACTGAAAGACTCTAGTGTGGGGAAAAACAAAAAGAGAAGAAGGAGAAGGAAAAATCCCACCAGTTGAATTGGAGGATCTGGAGAGCTGTTAAGAAAGGGAAGGATCTAGGCTCCAAAGGAGGGAGTTAATTTAATACATGTTTATCATTGAAGAGAAGGGAGAACCCGAGATATAAGCTCTCATCCTTGAAGACAGCACTGCACATAATCCATATGCTGCCACGTTTATCCCTCTATGACTCACAGGGAACAGAGCCTCACGCTTAAACACACACCTTGCTTCCACAGTTTATTGTTTGGGAGATTTGTATCAGCACCTTTCTATTGTTGTTTACAGCTTCAATGGCCAACAGTAAAGCAAATTAAACAGGCAAAAGGATCAAGGATTCCTCCTCATGCGTCATCGCTGTGACCGGGGCATTCACTTCTCTGACGCTGCTTCATTAAGCTATGATACCCCAGAGGAGGAGAGTCTCAGGCGCCGTTTACACGAGGAGAAAACTGCTTGTATCTGCATAGTTTCGCGTGCGTATAGCCCTATTATTTACACGAGGCCGATAGAAACTGACCCCACAAACGATAACGGGTCCCAAGGTGGATAGATTTGCAAACGAAACGCTCTGGGGGGTCAACCGAGTCCGTGTAATCACCTCTATACGAATATTTCCTGAAAAAATAGCGATAGCCCCACCTCTCCCCACCTCTCCTGCTCACTGCTGTAGCAACTATCAAAAATAGCTGTGTTAATTAAACGCACAAGGGGTTCTTGAATGAAATAATATTATAAAAGGCAAACCAGAATTGTTAACGCCCAATATACTCCTTAAACAAAATAAACAGAGTCAGATTTCATGCATTGATCCATTATATTGACAAAGGTGTGATCTCACCCGGTGTTTGTAGAGAATATCTCTCTTTCTGAGCCGTCCTCTCCACGGAGACGTGCTTCTTGGTCGGTCGATGCAATATCCACAGATTCGGTTTCTTTCAGTTAACTTCCCCGTTGCATTTATCCATATGCTGAGGAAATGACTATATCCCGCTGAATACCAGCAATCGCCACACACACTTCCTCCTGTCAGTAGCTACTGCTAGTGCTACTGCTACTGACCATGCTACAGATATTAGTGCAAAATCTACAGCCCCACAACCATCAGCAACAAGTGGACATGGAGAATTACATGAACTACATGTTGCTAAATACACCGCGGGGCTTAAACAGAAGGGTAGCCATGGCAACATTGCGGCGGGGCTGCTCGGGCTGCTCTTCTTCGCGGCTTTTGGTGTATTTTGGCGGAAGTTACAGCGCCACTTACAGTCCCGGCATATGTACTACAGCGTTTCCAGCGGCCTCGTTTGAACAGACACGTTAAATGAAACGAATGCATGTGAACGGAAGACTTTTTTGAATACGCATACTGTGCATAAACGCAAACGGTCCCGTGTGAGCGGGGCCTCAGTCTCCTGTCTGGCTGTGAGGCACAACCACACAGCGGGGGGCTGATGAGGGTCCCTCACAATAAGCACTGATTCTGTGATGATTACTGTGAGATACATGCTAGTTAAAACTGGCCTCAATCTGATTATGAAAAATGAAGGTGCTGACATTTTTTTATTAATCATGAGGTGATCAACAGAGAGAGTGAGACTATTTGGTGTAAATGCCAAACATCCCCTGGATTTAGCTTCAGTGTGAGCATTGTTTTGACTGTTGATCAGATTTGTTTTCCCCGAAGAAGACCCAATGGAAATGGGGATGGCCAATTTTTTTTTTTTGATTGAGCATTTTATGCTCAATTTTATTAGGGCATTTTACTAAAGATCTTTCTAGTCAACCAATAGTCGTCAATTCAGGCGATTATTCGACTAATCCAGCACATTTGTGATAAGCTATCATTATTAATATTATTGATACATTTTTTCTCCCAAAATGGTTTCAGTTTCAAGGGCTGATACAAAACGTTGTTATAACATCATGGTATGTTGTGCTAATATAACATATACAATAAAACTGTAATAATTAACCTTTGAAATATAAATATAATATAAATGAAATGTTACACGTAGAAAGCGCATGAGTCACAGCGGACTGGTCCGCCTGCCTACATTCTTTATGTGTTTCAGAACAATCAGCGAAGACACACGGAACATTTAGTTCATTTATTCTATCATTCATATCTTAATATAACAACCCTTTAAATATTACACAGCGAACGGAATCACTGAAAATCTGCGTGTTGCCAAAAATACCTCCTCGCATCACGTCTTCATCATAAAATGAAAACTTTAATTTATGTTTTTCTGAGGTCAGAATTATAATAAAGTATAGGTCTATATATGTTGATACAAGCTTAGGTTACTGCCTGACTCACTGCTGCTGTTTTCCTCCGATTATGAGAATAATCAGAGGTTGTCTGGGATAATTAAGGATTTCCTGCTCGACAAAATGAACTTAATGACCAGGCACAGCTCTGAATGAAGTGCGAGGGTTTTCTGACTGACGCGTCAAAGCACACGCGGATGGATGGAGTTTTTTTTTTTGACTAATAGAGTAATAACAAATTATCCGACTAAGACTGTTTTAGCCGACTAATTGGGGACAGCCCTTCATTTTACCACTCCCGGTTCCCTCGTCTCGAAGTAAGTGTTTTTTTAATGTGTTTTTGGTTTGAAGACTGAAATAATATCTGTGGTTTAAAAGATGTTCACATTTTGTTCCCCGACAGAAAATACGCTACTGTTTACCCCACTTGTGATTGGCCGAAGCTTCTTTGTGCCATAAAAACGGCGGTTGCTAACAAGTGACTTTAAAAAACGACCGAACTTCATCACATCGACAAGTTCGTCTTTAGTTAAGCGGTGGTGATGCGCATCCATGCGACCTTGATGTAGTTTGGGTTAGCTTTAATTTCTGCCAAAAGAATGAATCCTTGTAATATCACAAAGTGATTTTAATATGTGGAGTTTATCCCGCAGTACAACATGTTTGCCACAGATCGTTTTCTCTGCAATATACCAAAATCCAATGGTGAAATCCCATTGCTTTTCGTGGAGTGAACCCTTGCGATGCTAACTTTCGGGTTGGCTTACAAAAATATGTCAGCACTGCACCACATTATAGTGATCACATTACGTGACAGTATAACATATAATGGGCAACTTGTGTTAGTTTTCATATGGGGTGATCGGCGCGAGGGGGATACACATTCGAAGACACTTCACTTTAATCCTCGACTAGTCTTTTCTGATATCCTTTCCTGCCGATGTTCTGTTGCAGGTGTTCAACTCTTGACCCTGATATTTCCCTTGCCCGTAGCTTGGGATCTCCTTGGCTTTGGGTTTCAGCTGCTGTCATTGCTGGTAAAAACAATCACACAAAAGGATAGTTACACTAAACCCCAGAGGTGGGACCAAGTCATTGTTTTGCAAGTCCGAGTCAAGTCTCAAGTCTTTGCGCTCAAGTCCGAGTCAAGTCTCAAGTCAGGATGGGCAAGTTCAAGTCAAGTCCAAGTCCTAAACTTTGACAAAACGAGTCTTAAACAAGTCATTATGTGCTTTTCACCAAATGTAATGACACCCATCAACAGAATAATACTTAATAATTAAACTGCTCTTTATTAGTCACATTAATACTGTAATAATCTATTTTCTCTCTGCTGGTAAAGTAACGTGTTTTCTTCTATTGTAAGAGGGATCAGTAAGGTAAGGCTACCGTGACGGTTTGATTCAGAAGGAGTTTAATTGATAAGATCCCTGATGTTGAGGTAACCAGAATGTTTATTTCCACTGTGTACAACATGTTATAAGGGACCCACAACCTATCTTTATGCAAGGGATAATGTGCAGCGAGGCGGTCTTTATGGGGAAAAGAACACCTGAATCTAGATCCCTCTGCAGGTGGTACTTTAACTGTATTTTGATGCTAATACTTTTGTACCTTTACTTGTAACATTTTGAATGCAGGACTTTTTATTGTAACCGAGTATTCCTACACTCTGGTACTTTTACTCAAGTACAAGATCTGAACTTCTCCCACCTCTGACAATAAATCCTGAGTGGTTACCAAAAAAAAACCTTGCTCTGAAGGTTATTTTCATTTTACAAATCCTGCACTCAGCTTTGCTTTCTCCAATATCATTGAAATGCAGCCAGATGCTGCTTCTTTTTTCGTTTTTCGCTAATTTCTTGACTTTTTCCGACGCGCTTGCATTTAAATCTGTCTCCCCGTGGCTCTGTGTAGCTGGCCTGTACCACTACACCTGCTGTCTTTGGAGCGTCTGCCCCCCACCCTT